CTCACTTGGTAGCCCAGGCTGGCCTCGAACTCACAGAGATCCGCCTGGCTCTGCCTCCCGAGTGCTGGGATTAAAGGTGTGCGTCACCACTGCCCGGCTGGATGTCTACTTTCTTGAAAGAAGGTTCCCCATGAGGACGTGGGGCTTGAGGACTCAGCTAGTGTCTTACCTTTTTCTCTGGCTGTGACAAAACACCATGACTAAGGCAACTCATAAAAGAAAGTGTTTAACCGGGCAGTGGTGGCGCACACCTATAACCCCAACTCTTGGGAGGCAGAGGCAGGTAGAGCTTCATGAGTTCGAGGCCATCCTGGTCTACAAAGTGAGTTCCAGGACAGCCATGACTACACAAAGAAACCCTGTCTGTCTTTGAGAAACTAAAAAAAAAAAAAGGTGTATATAAAGAAAGTGTTTAATTGGGCTTATGGCTTCAGAGGGCTGGCGTCCATGATGATGAAGACACGATGGCAGAGCAGCTCAGAACTCATAACTTGACCTGAAAACAGGAGAAGAGGAAGAGAGGGGGGGAGAGGGGGAGGGGGAGAGGAGGGGAAGGAGGAGAGAAAGAGAGAACTCTGTAGGAATGCCACAAGTCTTTTGAAACCTCAAAGTCTGCCTGTACCTCCTAACCCTTCCCAAACAGTTCTACTAACCAACTAGGAACCAAGTATTCAACCACGTGAGCCTATGGGGGTCATTCTCATTCAGCTACGTTGTCTGGACAGTGAGCCCCTCCCCAGGGTCTCCATGTTCAGGCTTGCCTGTGCACACACCACCACCACCACCAAGTCCAGCTTCTTATATGTGGGTTCTCGTCATCACACTTGAGTCCACGTACTTGTGTGTCAAACATTTTTATAGAATAGGTTATCTCCCCCAGCTCTCTCTCCTCCCCGACTCAATGTTATTGTATCTAGTGATGATGTTGTCATGTTAATGACAATGATGTTGTTACTATGTGTTAATCCGATGCACTGTTCTCATGGCTACTCTGTGGGATCCATGCTACCATGCCCTTACAGTCGGTTACACTAGCTTTCCCTGGGGAGATATGAGCACATGTCTGCCCACCCTAAGACAGGGTACCAGCAGCAAAACCAAGAGCCTAGCTTGGTGACCCAATGAGTTTAGGTCAGCCGACAGGAGTGTAGGGCAGCTTCAGCACCAAAGAAGAGTGCCCTCTGCTCCCAGCAACCATTAATGGCTTATATATCCCAAGGGAGGGGCAGGACCTTGAACAGCACCTCCTGGGACAGAGTGCTCCCTCCCCGCCAGGGTGGAATGTTGCTGGGCTGAATCCTGTGCAGGTAACCGCTCTCCAGTGCTAACACAGCAGCAGCCTTGCTAGGCCTGGATCACATGCAGATGAGAAGGTACATCTAGGGAGGGCCAGCCTTTGCCCAAAGCCTCACAGCCCCTCCCTCACCTCTCGCTTCCTTTGGACAGTCCCATCCCAGCACAGCTGCAAGGGTCACGTCTCTGTGGATGGCTCCTGACCCCTCCCCTTGGACCTGAGTCCACTTTTCCCAGCATGTGAATGAGCTGATGGCATGATACACTCAGCATGCCCCAAATGCAGCTATTCTTTTGTTAACATTTTTCTAAAGGCTTTCCATGTGGTGCTATTTCATCTTCACAATCATCCTGGAAGACCATGTTATTATTCCTTCCCATGTGCAGTGTAGTTTCTCCTCAGAGACCCAGAGACCTGGTCCCAGGGTCCATGAGGGAATCATGCGCGCGCACACACACACACACACCATAGATTTTGTATATAACCTGTATAACCCTCTTGCATATTTCAAATATCTCCATAATACTTAATATGTAAATGGTACATGAATAATTGTATTATGTTATTTAGGAAGTAATGAGAAAAGTCAATATATTCAGCACTGATTTTTTTTCAACTAATTGTTTCTCTTGTTTGGTTGTTTTTTTGTTTTGTTTTGTTTGTTTTTGGAGAGTCTCGCTATGTAGTTCTGGGTATCCAAGGACTTGCCATGTAGACCAAGATGGCCTCAACCTCAGAGATATCTGCCTGTCTCTGCTTCCCAAGGGCTAAAACTAAAAACCTGCCTCATTCAGCTCTTTCTGATCGGTGTGCTGGTACACATATGTACTCCCAATCTGGAGGGTGGCGAGTTCCAGGCCAGCCCAGGCTGTGTAGCGTTTAAGGTCAATATGGACTGTACCATCAGATGTCCCAAATTCCAAAGTGACATCTATTTTACTGTCTGGGAGTGATTGAGTCTATGGATAAGAACTCGGTAGACAAGGCAGCCAATTGTATAATGCACACGAGTGAAGCCAGGCTTACATGTCTGTCTCAGGTGCACACAGCTTGTACACAGTGGGCTGGTCCTGAATCCTGACCTTACAGTAACACCTTGATCCCCCAAGCTGAGCCCTCCTTGCTTCCCATCCATCTGCTGCAGTCATCCTCTGCTGGGATGTAGTTGTGCTACAACATTTCCCCAGCTGGTGTAGGGTTCACCCCCATCACCACCACCTCTACCAGAAGGGTGGGGGTGGGGGAAGTAATATATTCATTCACTGCTTTTTGTTGTTGCTGTTTTTCAAGACAGGGTTTCTCCGTGTAGTTTTGGTGCCTGTAGACCAGGCTGGCCTCGAACTCACAGAGATCCACCTGCCTCTGCCTCCCGAGTGTTGGGATTAAAGGCGTGTGCCACCACCACACGGTTTATATATTTATTTTTATGTATATATGTATCTGTGTGAGTGTATGCCACATGTATTCGGGGAACTCACGAAAGCTAGAAGAGGTTAGATCCCTTGGGACTGAAGTTCCTAGAGGGGCTCCCCAACAAGGTTGCTGGGAGGCAAACTCTAGTCCTTTGGAAGAGCAGTAAGCACTTTAAACCACTGAGCTATTTCTCTAGCGCTAAGATTTTTAAATATGTTCATGTATGTTTCTATGTGGGGATGTGGACAGGAATGCAGCTTCCCCGGGAGCCAGAGTTACAGGTAGTTGCTGTACTTGCGTCTTCTGCAAGAGTACACCCAGCTTTTAACTACTGAACATCTCTCCAGTGCCCCCTCCTTTTTTGGGGGGGCGGGGAGGGGGCTGAGGCAGGGTCTCACTGTGTAGCTCTGGCTATCCTGAACTCAGAGATCCACCTACTCTGCCTCCGGAGTGCTGGGACTGAAGGTTTGCACCACATTGGGCTGGGCTTTGCAATCTTCCTGCACAGCCTCACAAGTGCCGGGGATTGGGTGTGTGCATCACACCTTTAACTAGACCTTTATTTCACCTTCGATGTAAAAAAATTCAAGCAGAGCCAGGCAGTGGTGGTGCACGCCTTTAATTCCAGCACTTTAGAGGCAGAAGCAGGTGGTTCTCTGTGAATTTGAGGCCAGTCTGGTCTACAAGGTGAGTTCCAGGACAGCCAGAGCTATTACACAGAGAAACTGTCTTGAAACAGAAACAAACAAAACTTTCAAATAGAGAGACAGAAAGCAAAAAGTGTCCTTTATGTCTCATAATTTTCCACTTCTGAACCAGCAGGGCGTGTCCAGTGAAGACGCTTGTCCTCAAGCCTGACAAACCAAGTCTGAGCCCCAGGACTCACACGTGGAAGAACCAAGGCCCACAGAGGGTGGTTCTGACTTCATGTGTGTGCTCTGGATGTTTGTGTTCACACACACTAAAAAGCGCTGCTTTTCAAAGAACTTCCCTCTCCCCTGATGAACGCATCTGTGTACTGGCCAGCAACTCACGCGAGACATCTGAGGACAGGGGGGTGTGCCTGAGTCTCCCTTAGTCCAAAATAGGCATTAATAAACAACTGCTGAAAAGAATCCATTGAAAGTCTCCTAAGCCAGCAGCACACTTAACATTTTTAGATCCAGACTTCCGCTCACCCACCCCCCGAGGGACGGCTCCTTCTTCTCCCACCTTCATTAAAGAACAAAAAGATATGTACCTCTGGGTCTGCAGTGTCTGGTCTGTATTTTAGCAGGGTCTCAGAAGGAAATGACTTTTCTCTAAACTGTGGCCGCCCAACCCAGCTGTGGCATTCTTAGACCTCGGGTAAACAGGAAGCTTCCTGCCTTGGGCCCTTCATGTTTCTCTCTCAAGACTATTTAAGACTGTTAATAGGCCGGTAAAAGGACAGCTGCTGGCCATAAAGTCAGCCCACTCCTTAGAACCTTAGCAACTAGCCCTCCACGGTCAGAGACCACACCCTTCCCCAGGTGTGGCTCCCCAGCAGGGGTCCTCAGGTGTAGGGTTTCTGGGTGATGAGGTCTGGAGACAAAACAATAGCACACAGCGGCTCTGTGGGAGGTGAGTCACCTCTCCTAGGAGGGGAACAATCCCTTTTAGTTACCCCCAAAAGGAGGCAAAGTGATGCAGGAACCAAAGTACCCAGTGCTCCAGCAAACTGGACCCCAGCGCCTCCCACACATTTATTTTGGGGGGAGGAGGGAACCCTAGGACTTGCAGCTGCTGAAGAGGCGCAATCTTTGCCAGCTGGAGGGACACTGGGGCAGAGGTGATCGTCTTTTGCCAAGAAGGGCACTCGGTGTCTTGGCAGAAGGCAGAGGGCTGCCCCAATCTGTGTGTACATTTTCAGTAGCATTTGACTCCGGACCAAATGCTTGGCTCTGCTAGTGCCGTGGTGATGGGTGGGAATGCTCGTTGGCCAGGCTGGCTGGAGGCTCCCACGGAGGGTGCTGGGCGTCGGCCAGGAGCTTCCCTTCAGCTGGCAAGTTGAGCGTTCTGTCACGGTTGGAGGGAGTGTGTCCAAATTCCAACTCTCAGCTTTCCAGAAGCCGCAGCTGATTGCCATCTGTTTTGAAGAATGCTGCTTATTGGAATTTCTGGCTCAGTGGGGAGTCAGAAGGATAATGACAGAGAGCCAAACTCTTACCTGGCTCAAGAATGAAGAAACGCTGCTGGCCAGGGCCAGCGTTTTTAGTTAGTTAGACAAGGTCTTATTCTGTAGCTGCCCTCAAACTCACCTCCTGCCTCAGCATCCTGGAGTGCTGGGATAGGTGGGTCAGTGATATCACTATTAGCAACCAAGAAGAGGCAGGAAGCAGGGCAGACGCTGCATTAGACAGCCTTGGCCTTGGCTCTGATGTACCCCATCAGGGCAGCGGTGCCGGTGCCTGTGACTCATGCCTACCAATCAAGCAGAGCTTTTGAGGATGGAAACCCAGTCATCCTGGGTGAGCCTTTTCCCCGGGGTGTCATCCCTCCCCCGCGGCAGCTCCTGTTCAGGGTTGTTCCCGGGGGTAGTGGTGGTGGTGGTGGCCGGGTTGGTTCTAATTGATCTAAGGAAATAGAGGACTTTCTGCTTAGGTCACATTTGAGCCTCCAGGTGTTTAGATTGGGATCTGTTTAAGGTAATTTCAGATTTAAGGGCTAAAAGACCTAAACCATACCCCGGGGGACTAGTACCTTCCTAAATCACATCCCAGGGAACAAGCAGGTAAAGAAGGCCAAGTAGTTTAGGATCACAGAGCTGGAACATGAGGATTAGGATCCAGAGTTCAGATCATGTGCTCTGACCCAAATCATTTATTATTGAAATTAGGGCCTCACATGCTTTACTACTGAGTTCTAGCCCCAAACCCCTACAATTTACAAAAAGTAACTCAGCAGAGCCTGTGGCACACACCTTTAGTACCAGCACTCAGGAGGCAGAGGCAGGTAGATCTCTGTGGGTTCAAGACCAGCCTGAGCTACATAGCAAATTCCAGGACAGCCAGAACCCTGTCTCAACTTCCGTGACTCCCCACAAAAGGTGATTCATTGTGAATACAAGTTTTTAAATGTTCATAGTGTGTAGAATTTTTTATATAAATGAACACATCATAAACTTCAGACACGTCTCCCTCAGAGCAGGTGGTCCCTTTTCCTCCTTTCACTGTACTGTCCCCATCATCTTGAGGGGACCAAGATGTCAGCTAGAGCTTTGATCAAACACTGAATTTAAATTACACATGGGGAGCCAGGTAGTGGCGGCGGCCTGCACCTTTAATCCCAGCACTTGGGAGGCAAAGGTAGGCGGATCTCTGAGTTCAAGGCCAGCCTGGTATAGAGTGAGTTCCAGGATAGCCAGGGCCACACAGAGAAACCCTGTCTTGAAAAACAAACAGTACGAGGTTTAAGATTGTCTGATGCTTGTTGATCAGGGGGATTTGAGACAGCCCCACTCAGCAGAGAAAACGGTTCCTCCTCTAAACTCACTCCACCCAGGACAAGAAGAGCCCTCCTGTGTTCACATTCTCCGTTCCTCCAGAGGAACGGGGAGATGCTAATGGACAGTGCTCTCAGGGATGTGCAGGCAGTCCCAGGCAGTGTATCTTGAAGCTTTTAGCCCATGGGTTAAATCAGCTTCCAGTTTGTCCCTTGAGACTCCAGGTCAAGTCCAAGGCAGGAAGTTGCAATGGAGGAGTAGTCCCAGGAGCCAGTAAGTCAGGAAGTAGCCTAGAATGCATCTTGTGACTGGAGAACAGGCCTTCCAGTTGTATAAGAGTTTCAGGATACAGTTTCTGGGGGTCTTCTGTCCTGGTGGGGAGTTTTCTGCAAACTTCTCAGGTACTGTGTCTACAGATCTCAACAGTGGTTCTTGACTCTGAAGCAAGTAAGCTGGAAACCAGTACACGATAGGAGTGGAAGAGCCCAACAGTCGTGTGAGAACCTGAAAAGAAAGCCATGTTGACTGGAGCACCAGTGATGCGGCTGGTGAACCATGCCTGACAACTAGGAAAGCACACTGGAAAGTTCAGCACAGCTCAGACCTGCCTGGAAGCCTGGTGGGCCGCCAGCCAGCCTTGAGTTTCCAGTAAGCAGGGTCCCAGGCTAATCACAGCAATAATGGGCCAACCGATACTGAAGTCTCTGGGATCTTAAACTTTAGTCTGTTGGAGGTTGGTAACCTGAGGAGGCTCTTTATCACAGGGCTGGGGCAGAGAAGCAGCAGGGCCCCGTTCAATCTCCCTCAGTCTCACAGTTCTGAGCCAAATCTCCAAGAGCCCTCACCAACACTGGCTGCACTGACTTCAAGGCTGACCCAGTCGGTGACACAGATGGCTGTTTTTACTTCCCCGAACCACATGGCTCAAAGACCACCACAAACTGTCAATATATGCTGTGAGGGGAGGCAGGTCAGCACAGCGACAGGTCTTCCTTGGAGACAGCTAAGAACTTTAAAACTGGACGTAAGACCAAATCCCTGGTCCTGACTGCCACCACCACCCCAAACACTGGACAAGATGTCTACCGCCTGTGCTCAAGACAGCCCGAAAGACCAACTCGGGCAGTCTGTGTACCAGGGAAAGGCCCCAAGAGAACCTGTTCACTCCTACACTCCAGTGAACCAAGTCCTCGACCGCCTTCACACCTTCACTTGTGCCCATCCCTTCCCTTCCCGCATCTGCCTGGAATGTTCTCTGCTGTTTCTTTGTTTTGGAGATAGAATTTCACATCGTGCAGGCTGACCCCTCAAACTCTGTATACAAGGATGGTCTTGAACTGACCTTTTGAGACAGTTTCTCACTGAACCTGGAGTTCACTGATTGGCTAAACTGCGTGTCCAGCACAAGAACCATAGACTGTTTTTTTATGTGGGTGCTAAGCTGAGGATGCAACCTCCTATGAAGACTTATTTATTATGTATACAGTGTTCTGCCTGCATGTATGCTTGCAGGTCAGAAGAGGGCACCAGATCTCATTATGGATGGCTGAGAGTCACCATGTGGGTGCTGGGAATTGAACTCAGGACCTCTGGAAGAGCAGCCAGTGTTCCTAACCGCTGAGCCACCTCTCCAGCCTGCAACCTATGTTTGCGCTGTAAGCATTTAATCAGTTCGGCCATCTCCCCACTCCTACATGCTTCCTACATGCTTTTTCCCTCTTCAGAACCCATTTTAAATATGATGCCTTAGTGAGTTAACTATTTTTTCACATTCACAATAAACAACTAATTGATTGTGTGTGTGGTCAGCTCTCTTCTATCATGTGGATTCCAAGGACTGAACTCAGGCCAGCCATGCTTGGTAAGAAGTGCCTGTACCTTTATTTCAGTGTTGGGGACTGAACTCGGGGCTCTCACCTGCCAGGCAAGTGCTCTGCCACTGAGTCATCCTGTCAGGACAACTGCAGTGTTTTATCTGCATCTCCTTGGGTTCTTGGGCAGGATCTCCATATGCAGCTCTAGTTGGCTGGGAATGTACTATAAAGACCAGGCTGGCTGGTCCTGAACTTGGGACCATCTCCCTGTCTCTGCTTCCCAAGCACTGGAAGTACAAGTATGTGTCAGCATGTCTGGTCCCCTGGAACTGGAGTCACAGACAGCTATGAGCTGCTATGTGGGTGCTGGGAATTGAACCCACATCTTCTGGAAAAGCAGTCAGTACTTCTAACTGCTGAGCCATCTCTCCAGCCTGCCTGGGTGGATTTTACTTTTTGTTTTGAGACAGGGTTTCACTATGTAGCCTGGACTCAAACTCAGAGACCCACCCACTGGGATTTATTTATTTATTTATTTGAAGGAGTTTCTCTCTGTGTAGCTCTAGCTATCCTAGAACCCACTGTAGACAAGGCAGGCCTTAACTTCACACCTGCCTCTGCCTCCTGAGTGATGCACTGAAGTCATATGCCATCACTGCCTGGCTATATGTGCATATTATTTTTAAAAATAACAACAGTAGTATAATTAGAAACAAATATGGTCTCATATAGCTCAGGCTGGCCTTAAACTCACTACGTAAAAAAGAATGACCTTAACCAGTTTTGGTTTTTTGAGGCAGGGTCTCACTATATAGCTCCCCCTGCCTCCCCCTCCCAAGTGCTGGGATTATAGGCCGTTTTATGCGGTGTTGGGAAAGGACTTGAGATCTTCATGCATTCTAGGCAAGCAGTCTATCAACTGAGCTGCATCCCTAGCCCCTAATTGTATCGAATATGTCCGTCTCGGTGTTGATACCGTGAGACTCATTAAGGCAGTAATTTTATCTTACTGTGTCCCATCTCCGAGTTCTAATTTAGATCTGGGACGAAGAGAGCCCCAGGTTTGTGTTTGTCTAGCTATTTAGCCTATGCGGATCTGAAAACTGCTTTGTAGTCCAGGCTGACCTTTAATTTAAAACCCTCTGCCGCTGCCGCCTCCTCCTCTTCCTCCTCCTCCTCCTCCTCCTCCGTGTTGGGATTACAGCTGTGCCTGACCACATCTGACTGCCCACAGTTGTTGACTAGATCAGGCAAGGGCCATCGAGTGAGAAAGCTGCCGCCGCCCCTGACTGTGAGGTCTTGTCTGTTCCCACACAGCCCTCCAGGTAGCACCCTCACCTGAACATGCATGCACAGACTTCCGGAGAGCAGCAGCGCTGCGGCGTGGACCAGGTACACAAACACCTTCGGACCGAGGAAGCCAGGGTGGGTCTTCTCTAGGGCCTTACTGTCCTTGCTCCTGAGCAGCCCAAGTGTAAGGCAGAGCCAAGGGTGGGTGGTCACATATGCCCAGGTTGCCCACACAACCAGCACAGCCACGGGTGCAGCTAGAAGAAAATTGGGCACCTGCCTGAGCTCATAGTACCGCAGGAAGCCGACATTCCAGTAGACATCCTGGATGTAGCTGTAGATGAGGGGAAGAGGCCAGGAGCACCATGGAGGCGCCTCGTCTCCTCGAATCCTGTAGCCTCTGTCCACAGCTAACTGCACCAAGGGCTCAGGAATGGAGGGGGCAGAGCCTGGGAAACAGAACTGGCTGTAGGCATAATACTGAAAGAGAGCAAAGGGAAGGCTGACCGTGAGCACCGACAAGCAGACAGAGGTCAGCAGCTTGACGAGCTGTTTCAGCGGGTTCAGCACCACGAGAGAAGAGAAAAAGCCTCTGCACTGAGAATGCACGAGGAAGCCGACACTGACCAGCCCATTGGAGCGCACCCCAGTGGCAAGAGCAAAGAGCAGCCCGCTGGCCCAGCTCCGGCCCCTCTCCAGCTGCCCCATGGCGCTGAATGTCAGGAAGGCAAACAAAGCTTCCGAATAACCAGCTGCCAAGAAAACATTGGCAGGGCTGAGGCAGAAGAGCATGGCTGCATAAAAGGCCTGGCGGGGGCAGCGCAAAACCAGACGACCCAGATCATGAAGGGCGACGGCGGCCAGCACGGAGAACAGGAAGTTGAGAAGGGCCACGGAGAGCAGCAGGCAACTGCGCCGGCTCAGGAGGCCCTGCAAGGGCTTCAGCAGCTCAGTTCCCGTCCTCAGGGCCAAGGGGAAGCCGGGGAGGAAGGCAAAGTTGTGCTCATAAAGGTAGCCGTGCTCAGCAATAAACAGGAAGTGTTCTGCATCCCATCGAGACAGACCACCCAGGAGACCTTCCACTAGCTGATCCACAGAGCCCGAGGGGGCCAGGCGGGGAGGAGAAAAGGCGTCTGCATGGTGATCTGGGATGATGGCATTGAAGAGTACCTGTGGGGTGAGGGAGAACCAGGATGTTGGTGAGTAATGGGAAGAAAAGCATTACCACTTAGTAAAATGAGAAAAACAGACTTGTTGCTATGGGGTGTGTGTGTGTGTGTGTGTAGCTTCAACGATAAATAGTTAACTCTAGTGCAGAGGTCAACCAAGCAGGAGATGCCTGAGTCTACAAACGAGAAGCTGGATCAGGATTCGTATAAATTGGAGATGGAAGTAGGGCTGGTACCCCCCAGAATGAAGGAGCCTGCCTGGGAGGAAGTAGAGGTAGAGGCGAGATCTGAAGACAGAGCCCATCAAGGATGAGGATGGAGTCTTCCTGACAAGGATGTAAGGATAATGCACTGAGAGAAAGCATGAAGCCAGGCATGCTGGCATAAGCCTTGACTCTCTGCACTCAGGAGCCAGAGGCAGGCGGGTATCTGTGGGTTCCAGGACAGCCTGATAGACTTAATGAGTTCCAGGCACACAAACAGGAAGAGTGAATGATGAGTGGTCTGTGGGAAGCCCAGGGGAGAACAGAGGCTTAGAACCAACTGAAAACCAGGATTGAGAAATTGTTGAATGCTGCTGACAGGGCCCAAGACAGACAGGAACTGGAAATGATCACAGACTCCAGCAACGTGAAGGTCGCTGGTGACCGATTAGAGCTATTTCAGCAGAGTGGTGGTGAGACGCCACCCAGCGAACAGAAAGGGGGGGGCGGTGCATACAATGATTTTGAGTTGTTTTGCTGTGGAGATGAAGGGAGAAATGGGGTAGTCAGTAGAGCAATGTAAAGTAAAAAGGACAGAGTTGGATGTATGTGGACAGGGGCTCGAACTTGAAACAGCTGAGAATGACCTTGAGTTTGCTCTTTCTACATGTCCAGTGCTTGTTACAGGTGTGAGGGGGGGGGCTGGGACGGGGAGAATGAGAGAAATTTTTGCATTTCACTGGAATAAGCCAGTGAAGAGAAACCACTGAACAGGCAGGAGGCTGGAAGGAAGCCTGGGCAGGCAACAGGGGCTGCACCCGCTGGACAGACGGATGAGGAGAGCGTTCATCTCACTTTCAGGAGTGGAGCCACAAAGACACATGGAGGTAGGCTAAGGGATGGAGCAATCTGATTTTCTTGACTTTGTATCTAGGAATGAGAATTCCTGCTTGAAAGTACCGGGACAAGTTATTATGGATTTGTAAAGAGTGTGGAGACGACCCAGTTAAGAGGCCCGCTGTGTTGGGGAATATTATTTTAAGGTGTGTTTCTTTTGTTTATGTTGCATTTGTTTAACTCTGTGAAGCTGTGTTACTGTGCCTGTCTAACACACCTGATGGTCTAATAAAGAGCTGAACGGCCAACAGCAGGGCAGGAGAGAGGATAGGCGGGGCTGGCAGGCAGAGAGAATAAATAGGAGAAATCTGGCAGAGAGAGAGATTTAGGAGCAAGAGGAGGAGGAGGCTATCTGGGGCCAGCCACCCAGCTACACAACCAGCAACTGTAAGAAAGAAAGGTACACAACAGAGAAAGGAAAAGCCCAGAGGCAAAAGGTAGATGGGATAATCTAAGGTTAAGACAAGCTGGCAAGAAACAAGCCAAGCTAAGGCTGGGCATTCATAATGAAGAGTGAGCCTCCGTGTGTGATTTGGGAGCTGGGTGGTGTGCCCCCACAAAGAGACAGAGTAAGAAAACAACCAATGACGCTGTTGTTCTTCCAGAGGACCTGGGTTTGACTGCCAGCACCCACAGGGTGGCTCACAACTGTCTAACTTTAGTCCCAGAGGATCTGATGCCCTCCTTTGGTCCCCTTGAGCATTGTATGCATGTATATACATGCATGCACACAAGCAAAACACTCATACGCATGAAATAATAAATCTTAAAAAGAAATTGTAGGGCTGGAGAGATGGCTCAGAGGCTAAGAGCACTGACTGCTCTTCCAGAGGTCCTGAGTTCAATTCCCAGCAACCACATGGTGGCTCACAACCATCTGCAATGAGATCTGGTGCCCTCTTCTGGCCTGCACGGATACATGCTGTATACATAATAAATAAATAAATCTTTAAAAAAAAAAAAAAAAAAAGAACTTGGTGTTAAAAAAAAGCAATTGTAGAATGAGGAAAACACATAAAATAAGTGGTGGCTGTAAAGTCAGGCTGTGCAAACTATGCAGGAGTTTAAACAACACTGGCAATGGCCAGGTCCTTCTCTTACTTAAAATGAGATTGAACAGAGCCTGGGCATTTGATTAAAAAATGTTACATGTTTGTTTATTTTATGTGTATGGGGTATATATATGCCAAGTCACATGTACAGGGGACAGCTTGTGGGAGTTGGTTCTCTCCTGCCACCACATGATCATAGGGACCAAAGTCAGGTTATCAGATTTGGAGGCATGTGGCTACCCTGAGCCATCCTGCTAGCCCTGGTTATTGGAATTTTGAATTTTTCATTTTTATGTGTTTTTGAGTGTGTGTGTGTGTGTGTGTGTATGTCAGAATATAATATTCAGAGCATCACACATACTAAGTATTCTACCACTGAGCTACATCTCCATCCAACACTGCATTTTTTAAAAAGTCCCCCAGGTAACTGACGTACAAAAGTCATTTGAGGGAACAGGAGGGTTAATGGGCTACAGGAATTCACCAAGATTTCCAAGTGGTGCTAATGACGCACTTGATCTTGTATTAAAAAAACAAGGTTAGTTAATATTCTTGCATGTTTCTGGTTTTGTTTTAAATGGGTAGCCATCGGCATGGAGGAAGCAGGTCACTATACTAGCCAAGACTAGACTTTTGTCAGATACTGGAAGAAGGGAGTTGCATGTCTGCACAGGAATGATCACCACGAAGGAAGACTCAGCTGGGGAAGACGAAGCTGAAGGCTGATGGGTGAAGGCCACAGAAACACAGTGGGGTTCCAGGGTTACAAAGCCGAAAACGAGATGCAGGAGCAGACTCTCTGGCAGGTGTTGGCTCTGGAGCACCACCGTGGAGTGGGGAAGACAAGGTCCCTGACAGGAAGTGGAACTGTGACATGAGGCTCAGGGTGCTGAACTCTTCATAGGGAAACCAGAGACATCAACAGAAGCAGTGCCAGGAAGAGCGTCAGTGAGACGGGAGTTCAAACCTCCAGAGAACCACTATCATCGGCAGACGGCAGCACCAGTGGAGGGTAGCTAGGGACAGAAGCTGAGAGCTGAGCTTGAGAACTGGAAGGGGTTATATGTCTTTCTGCCTCATTAGGTTGTCAGTTACTTGAGGAAAAACATGACCTTTTACTCACAATTTAGCACAGTTTTGGGAATAGGTATTCACTATAATTTTGGTGGCTGAGCTTCAGGGATCTGAGGAAATCTACTGTTTCCAAAATCACACTGAACGAGAACGCAGCTGTCCTGGCTCCTCCCCCAGATGCTGACCTGCCTCACTCCGCTCTCGGTTCTGCCAGGAACTCAGCTGACGCTGGTTCAGAGCCATCACTGAGGCATGCTCTCCAGCCTAGCAACTCGAGCGCAGCTCACTTAAAGGCCCATTCTCTTCTTGGTCAATTTCTTTCTTTCTTTTTATTTTTGGTTTTTCAAGACAGGGTTTCTCTGTGTAGACCTAGCTGCCCTGGAACTCACTCGGTATACCAGGCTGGCCTCGAACTCACAGAGATATGCCCGAGTGCTGGGATTAAAGGCGTGCACCACCACTGCCTGACTCATTGGTCAGTTTCTTTATCAGACTACTAAAAACAGTGAAAAGAAATGGGATGGGGTGGCAATCACAGGTCACAGCACTGTCCTCCAAGTTAAAGACACTTTAATCCCCAAAGCCAGTAGAAGCTGAAATGCTTTGTTTAATAGGGGAGGAAAGATTCAGGGCTAGAAGCACAGAGGGAAGAAAGAAAAGGTCTCTACAAAGGAGCAGCTAGGAGCCCCACATATGGGTGGCAAAGAAACACCCATCACTATCTCAATACAGCAACTCTAGGTGCTGACCTGTGTTCATTCACGGTCACAAACTCAGGACCTACCAAGTATAAAGCACTAAGCTAGGCACCAAGCAATTCATACCTGTGTGGTTTTGATTAAAATATGCATCAAGGCAGCCTAGGGGGAGGGGCGGCAAAGGGCAAACACACTGAGAACTGGCTAAGACGGCAAGAGAGGGAAGCGTTCCTGATGACCAGTCAGATGGTCTCAGAACTTTGGAAGTGCCTCCTTGCTCCCAGTCAACTAACGCAGTACGCAGACTCCAAGTAAGGGAGCCCCGGTCAACACCGAGCTGTCACACACACCTTAAAAGTATCTCTGTTGGTGAGACCATCAGACAACCAAGGTCTGTGGGAAAAACCTCTGGTTTGGGCAGGGAGTTAGGGAGCCTGGGGTCCAGCTCTAGCCCTTTATCTTGTTACGTAGCTTTGGACAAATCATTTCACCTGTCTAGGCCTCTGCTGCTTTGGGTGTGAGACACAAGATGAATACCACTACCAAGGCTCCTGCCCACTGTTGAGCTGCCCGCCCACACGAGGAGGCAGGCACGAGAGGAAGTGGGAGATGAGGACCATTTAGTCTCCATTCCTAGCTCCATCACACAATAACAGCATGTTAGGGAAAGGATCAAAGACTGACCTGGAGCGTTAGAGTTAGGATTCGGCAGCGTATTGCAAATGTCAGCACCTCTTTCTGGGATGGGTCCAGGGGCCACATCCTCTCCTCACCAGGTCTGAGCTTCCTCTGGCTTCTAAATTCTAACACCCAAGGAAGAAAATGTCACACAAGGGCCAAAAGAAACTCATAACATTCTCTTCACAGGGCCACCCCCTTCAGCATCTCTACGGCATTTCCAGAGGGAAGACTATTTTGAAGGCAGATGGACCACTGGGTGTCACCCTGAAGCACTCTATTCTAGTCAGATAAGTTCTACATAGATGAGCTTGAAGCTGAAAAGCTAAGCTCACAGAAGTTTTAAAAGTCCGTTGAATGCTTGTATGTAGGAGTCAAAGACCTGGGTTCAAGTCCCGATTCTATCACATGCAAGTTCTTATTCAGTCCCTCTGAGACTCCTTTATCTGTAAAATGGAATAAGACGTATCTCCTCCCACCCCCATCTCACAAATCTGTCACCATGGTAAAATGGACTAAACTAAAAAGTACTACACAAATCAATGTTGTGGCTATTATTTGGCATGGGCCCTTTTCCTCTTGCCCAGAATAATAAACTAATTCCCAAACCAGAGTCCCCAAAGTGGGGCACAGAACCATACTAGAAGCCCGTAATAACTGCACATGCCAGCTAGCGCTCTGATGTGTGTTCAGCTGGCCTGGAAATTAAGTGGGGAAGGAAAAGAAAACCACCGCTCAGCAGGACTTCGGCCAGCTCCCATCGCTAAAACAAACTCAGGCAAAGACACAGTCTACCGCTAGGGAAGGAGTGAAAGGCTATTTATTTCCCATGGGGAGGGGGGGACAACGTACGAAAACCCAGAGCCATTCTGAGGTGCGGAATACACTTCAAGACATTTTCTTCCTTTCTTTTTCTTTCTTTTCTATTTTTAAAAACAATTTAAAAGGAGTCGTGGCTCCTACTGTGTATCAGCAAGAGCCACAAGTCTCCTCTTCTCTCAGGTGGCTAACTCCGGCTTTCTGAAATTTTCTGATTCTCACTAGACTGCGCTATGCTCTCACTGCCTCTTACCCTGACATACCACCGTTATTTATGAGGACAGGGGCTTTTCGTCCTTCTTCCCAGGACCTAGCATGTAAACCAACATCTTGTTCTGAACAAGACGTAGCAAGAGCAGGATATGGCATCACCAGTTCTGACTCTAGATCTAGAAATCACTGGTCCAAATATTCCTCCCATCATATTTCATGTTAAAAAGCCCGATGGCCCAGGAGGTAAAGGCACTTGCTGCCACGGTGACCCACGAGTTGTCCTCCGACCTCCTCACACAGGTGTGCCACGGCACACTTGCAGCCACACACATACACAAATACATGCACACTGAACAACAAAACAAACGAAAGTCACAGAAACCCTGGGAGAAAACAGAAGTTCTGCACCAGGGGAACGAGACTGACTAACAGCGACAGTACTTCTTTCCGGGCACAAGGGGGCACTCACTGCTTACTCCATCCCCGGGAGGCCAGGAGAAAAGGAGGGCCCTTGGCACCTCCCAACTCCACATCGGTTTACCCAAGAAAGTTCAGTTTAAAGTTAAGCTTCTGAACACCCCCAGGAAGGAGTATTTGCTGACTATACACGATATCTCCAACAGTGGATTCACTGAACCCAAAGAAACTACAGAAACAAGCGCCCCCATCTCCTCTGCCCTACGATGAATTCTTTTTTTTCCCCTTCACTGGCTTCCCACCTGCATGCACAAGAGAGGCAGGGATCAGAATCCACCTCTGCACCTCGACCAGACTCGCATTCTCTTCCTCTTTCAAACTCTGGCCTCAGTGGCCACAAGAGATGCAACCCACACTTATTTCACAGTTAAACCAAGTAAAATCAAGACAATTATCCCCCTAGATATCTGCCAACTTCCCTTTGAAAGAAGCCCCTTGCCAAATCACACTCTTAACTGGCAGGACGCTTAGAACCGACCAGTTTCATTCTTTCATTTTCCCGTGAGATAGGCTCCGGAGATCTCATTAGACACGGGAGGCCGGTATAATTACCATCGCCATTTTATGGATGTGAAAACTGAGGCTCCCTGGAGCCAAGAGACACGCCCACGACTTAAAGCGTCTCATGCACTGCTTTCTAAAACCTCATGCCCCAAGTCACGAGCGCGCTCTGCCACCAACACAAAGGGTATGCATCCCTTTCCAGCCGGGACCACCCAGGTCTCCAACACCTAGCCCGGGACTTCCTCCAACGCTAGCGCATGTTGTTTCTGGAAGCTTATGGTGCCGGGCTCTTATCTGGGAAAGCCTGTTGACCTGGAGCCCTGGGCTCTCTCGGGAAGGCTATAACGTCCTCGGTGGGGTGATGCGCTCGGACCCGGGGTGCTCGCCTCGCAGAGCGAGCGGCCTCCTGCCAAACCCCGCGGGGCCGGGAGCCCGTTCCAGCCTGTTCTTTTCGGACACAGCTCCTCCCCGAGACGGGGCACTGACCCTCACCCCAAGGGAGCCACGGCCCAGGACTTCGTCCCGAGGGAACCGCAGGGCCGGGCCGGGCCACAGGGCCGGAAGCAGACGAGGGCCGGAGGCCGCAAAGGAAGAGGCGGCGCCGGGGCTCCCCCCATCCCCACGCTATGGCGGAGGGGCGGGGCTCCGCGCTTCCCTACAGCCTCCGCCTTATTTCTCTCGTCCTCCGTTTGACAGCTTCCCTCCCCGGAGAACTCCAGAGCTCCAAGAGCTGGCGCCGGGTCCTCCTCGCCCCGCGCGCCCAGACCACCCCCGCGGAGCGCCAACCTCAGCACCTCCATCCGGGTCCCGAGCGTCCCGCGCCTGCGCGCTGGCTCCGCCGACGGCGGCCCCGCCCAGCTCCTGCCCGGACTCGGGGCGCCCCGCCTCCCTTGCTCGGCGGCCATGTCGACCCTGGCCGGGGCGGGGGCCGCGGTGCGCGTCGCACCTTCCGGGCGCGGTGACACCTGAGGAGTTTGCCTCGCGCTCGCCGTCCGCGTGTGCGCGGGCGCTGCGCTCCCAGCCGGCGCCCTCGCCCCCCGTCCCGCCCCGGCGAGCGGCCCCTGACTCCCCGCAGTGGGCCGAGGTGGCCCTCGGAACTACCCCGGGGCCTCTTGGCCGCAGCCAGGGCCGCACGTCCTCTCCCGCCCCGCCGCCGCCACACCAGCCCGGCCCAGGGCCCGGCACACAATGGACCGTAGGAATGGGCGGAAGGGAGCCCCGTTGGGGTTCTCGTGGCACGCAGCGGTGCCCTGCGCCTGGGCGCGAGGCAAGCGGGGGACCCCCGTGACTTCCCCTCCCTCCGGCGAGGCAGGACCTCGGCCCTGCCTCTGCAGTCCCGCCGCGGGTGGCCGTATAGGACGGAGGACGAGGGAGGGAACCTCAGAGAACACCCCCAGGACTCCTCCCTCGAGCAGTGTCTGTCCTAGGAAGTGGCGCCAAAAGCAGAAAAAAAAGAAAAAGGAAGCTAATTGAACAAAACCGTCTGTTGGGGAGGAGCGGCCGGTTGGTGCCCCTGCAACGGAAACGGTTAGAACGGCTTTGCACCCTCCCTTAAAGGAAACAGATAATAAATCCTTCTCCGTTGGATTTCTCGTTTCTCAGGATTCCAAAGCCGCCTGTGGTTTCAGTTATCTGTCCTCTCCACGTAGCTCGGGTCTGGGTTAACCTCTGGCCACAACCCTGGCTGAGGGAGGGGTTTATCTTCGGCAACAGCCACCAGTGTGGGTGGGAACAAAGGGATGGTCGCTATCTCTCCCAGCAAAGAGAACTAGCCCGCTTCAGTTTTTTGGGGGGCCAGGTGCACTATCATTTCAGGCCCTGGGACTTAAAACTGCCCCCTGGATGTTTGTGTGTGAAGTGGATAAAGTATAAAGCATAATTTAGTGGCTGGTAAAGAGAGACAAGGAGTTGACCAAGTCATCCTTCCAGGTTTTTCAGCGTAGAAACAACGCGTTCGTCTGCGTGAAATGGCAACGCCTCTCTGGGTGCGCTTGTGACTTGGGCCCAAGGTTGTGACTTGAATTTCTAGAGGCTCCCCAACACTCTGCCTTTAAAGACAAAACAGAGACATAACTCTGCTTGTTTGTGAATTCACGCGGGGGAAATGCTCAAGGTTCTGTCTGTCCACACGGAATTCCCTCAGAATGTTCTTGTCAAAAAGGCAGGGGTCCTCTTGTGAGAAGTGCGAGCGCTTGCTGGAACACCGTGTGGAGCTGGAACTTCGTCTAGCTCTTCAGTTGCACTTGGCTGCAATTTCTCCTTCCTTCTTCCCAGCTACCCAACCCCCTCCTCTTCTGCTCTGTTTCCCGTTTCATTTTCTGGCTTCTGCTCCTACAGGAAAACAAGGAAGCCGAGTCTTGCGCTCCCAAAGCCCTGACTCTCGCGCTTGCTTTTTAGACTGGAAGGGGGCAGGCTGGGATGGGAGGGGGTTCTGGGGCTCCAGGGCGCTGAGTGGAAGGTGAAAGAGGCCGCGCTGTAGTTTGCCTTCGCAGTCTGCAGTTAAAATGGAGCCTGCAGCAACATCGGCAGCTGAGCCGCTAGAACTAGAGAAGGCAAGGGAGCCAGCCAGCCACGTCCCCGGGCTCCGGAAAGACTGCTTCTCCCACCTTGCATTAAAAAGGAAATACCCCACACCATCAGGGAAGAGTTTCACAATACAGAGTCCTCAGCTAATCAATGCAAGCAATGTGCCACTATTTCTAAAATCCTAAAATTCAAGAGGGTGACATCATTTGTGTTCTTTGAAGTTGTCTGCCTCTGCATTTGCTTTTTTTTTTTTTAACTTAAAACATCCCACCAGACCACCCTTTGGCTTCGGGGACAAAGCATGTCCATCCACTTCCACCACCCTGTTCTGTCTGTCACTTGCCGGTCTTAGCACCGTCTACTTTACCCTGTCCCTGGCATTTCAGTACCTGTCTTCTCTTTTGGAATATTAACTTCTGAAATACAGTGGAAGACCAGGCTAATCTTTCACCAAGTATTAGAGCACTTGGAAAGGCAGCTTGGGCAGGGAGTGTAAGTCAGTGACCGACCGAGGGCTGGTCCTAGACTTGATCCCTAGGACCACAGAAACAACAGTAAAACCCACACAGAGCCTTGCGTGTTTTGTATGGTGAATAAATTAATTTAACTGGATGCCATATTTGATACTTAAGGAAATCAAGGCTTACTAAAGGAAGGTCACACAGGCCTCAAACCCATGATCCTCCCTGCTTCAGCTTCCTGAGGGCTGAGATTACTTACATATGTGAGGCACCATGCCCAGCTACTTCATGTGGCTGTAATTGTTCCCACGGTTACACTTTTTAATCTCTTCCTGGTTAAGAGTCTTTAGGAAGCCCTGTGGTACACACCTTTAATCCCAGCACTTGGGAGGCAGAGGCAGGCGGATCTCTGTGAGTTCGAGGCCAGCCTGGGCTACAGAGTGAGTTCCAGGACAGCCAGGGCTGTTACACAGAGAAACCCGGTCTCCAAAACAAAACAAAAAACCAAACAACAGAGTCTCTAGGAACTGTAGTACCCTATGTAAGGCCCATCAAGTCCTAATATCACCTACCTTCTCTTTCTTCCAATGGGACCATACCATGCCATAGGCACTGAGGAAGTGCCACTGAGGAAGATGTGTTCGGGAACCACCTGCCCTCAAGTGATTTATGAGTGAGTAGCATAAAGTACTCTTATAAGACAGGCTGTTCTAACTCCATGTCCAAAGAATAGTTTTCCCGCTGAAGATGTAGAGAAGTCAGAATCCCCCTGCCCCCGAAGCATTCTGACAGTTTATTCCTCCTTGTAGCTTCCTTGTCTTGTTCCTGTCTCCACACCCGAGATAATGGGGTCCCAGGCTGGGCTGAGACACTGCCCCGTGTATGTATCTGTTCTCTGTAATTATGTTTCCAGGCATTAAACTTTCCAAAGCCCGCTTCCTATGGGATTGCAGTAGCTGACCCTGATCTGGGACACTGGATCCGAAGCACACCATTGAGATGGAAGTGACCACACAGCCCCGATTCCTTACTATCTACTGTCAGTGGCCAAGGCTAATGCTCATGATGAGCAGAAGCTAGACCTTTCCAGAACTTTGATGCTTCTTTTCACTGTTCAGAAAAATATAAAAAATCGTCCACTGACAGTTTCTAAGGATGCTGGGTAGTACTTACAGCCATCTTGACATCTGAAATGACACCAATTAGGTCTTGGACATTTACGGAAAATGTTTGACCTCTGCCATGTCACTTAAAGATGCTCACCCACGCCAGGTTACTAAGATCCTTCCTTGTTTCCAATTGCAGGTACCAAACAGTGATGCTTCAAAAACCACGGACATGTTACAAAAACACTTCGTCAGTGTCTGCCTTTCAATAGTTAGAAACCTTGATTCCACTGAGAGGCCCGGTGGGAAGGCCTTAGCCTCTTGGGGGTGGCAGTGGCTGCCAAGCAAAAGAGCCAATCAGCTTCAGAGTATTGTTTAGGCTGGACTTGGCTGCTGTCCAGCTCTGAAAGAAGGTTAAGGTCATTTGGGGGTGGGGGTAGGGGAGGGAGGAGCCTGGGAAAAGAACTACTGGCCACACCCGGGGGTTCTCTACTGGCCAGGTTCTATTTACTTCTCAAAAGCCAATTACTCACAGCTCAGTGCTCCGCAGTGCTCTTGGCCAGTGGTAACTCCAGTCAGAAACTGGAGACTGGGCTAGGCGGTCCTCGAATTGCAGAAGAGCAGATTAAAGAAACCCAGGAGACAGAACTCCTAGGTAATGCTCCCCACAGTCCAGAAATGCACTTTCTAGATTGGAAAGTTCGAGTTCAAGGTCCATAGCAAAAATAGTGACTAGCAGTCTTACTAAATAAAAGAAAGATATGAAAAACACCCTCCTTTTGTTTTTATAAGAAACTACCTTGGTTGACAAAGGATTTTCTTTCTCAGTAAGTACTAATTTGCCATTCCTGTCCCTGACTCAAATATTAACAGCCACACCAAGTTTGATGAGCACTTGACTAAAATTCTTGAGACACTTTTGCCTCATGCCAAATACAATAGAAACCACTCTCCCTAAAGCCTGCTGTGGATGGAGTAAGGGTGGTGTGGTACTGGTAGAACTTCGGCCTTGGTCAGGTGGGCCTAGTTTTGCATATGAAAGGGAGCTATTGCACTTACTTCCTAGACACAGGGCTGTCACAGGAATATCTGGGACATATTTTGTTCAGCAGACAAATATGCAATAGAAAACTGTCTCAGGTTTCACTTAAGTGTTTACAATCATATTTTGTTAGTAGCTCTGATTTCACTGGAAAAAATATGAACTTTAGTTTTCTTCACTTTCCTAAGGGAAG